AGGCAACAATTCTTGCAGCGGCCATAAATCAGATTTGTGACGGTGCGGCTCCATCTAGTGATTCTTCTCTACAACTGCAGCATAAGGGAGAGGAACTGTGGGTTGCTCTGTTCAATGAAACACACTAAGTGTGCGAGCTTCCAATGTTGTGCTGACCTCTCGACTCGAAGAGATGACCCATTTGGATATCACTGGGAACGTCAAGTTTCTGAATGCTCCAACAGAATTGGTGAACTAAATTGCTAATATATTTGAACGTGTTTCAGAAATTCCTTCCACCCCCAAGGTGTTAATTGGTAATAGCTTTCCTTTGCTGGCAGTGTCAGGTCTTTTACTGTACTGGACAACAGGTTGTTTCCTTTAGATAAGGAAATCGATTTTCAGATATCTAAGATATGATGAAAAACTTTCATGAGGGAGTCAGAAGGGTTATAATCTTCCAGCTGGATAGAATGGAGCCATCAGTTTTTCTTTGAGCCATTTCCATTTTCAGTTTACTTAACTGTATGATATATATGGAACAGAAAACTTTGATTAACAGATTTATTAGACATATGCTTGCAATGTGCTGTGGCTACCTGAGCATTTAAACATTTTGGTAGATTTCTGCCTACTACTTGTGCTAAGTAAGGTGAAAGTTACCTAAAGATTAAAAACTGAGTATAATATGGGCTTGGATACAAACCCCACTGCTCCCTAAATCTGTAAGGTTAGTCCAGTTGCACAGATTTCATGGGAGTTCAGAATTGCTCCCAGTGCTGTAGTCAGGAGGCATATTTGCTATGCCTGAAAGTGCCTTCTCTCTTGGACTGCATTCTAGAAAGGGTAGGAGGGTTTTGGCAGCATATTCAGGCTGGAACCAGAACATGATCGCATTTGTAAAACATATGGAGTAGGAGAGACAGGATAGGGGCTGACCTCAGGGTGTACAAATCCTCACTTTATTCATATTGATAATCTATTCAAGGTTTTACAGACGCTGGGTAATTGATATATGAAATAGACTGTTCTCCTGGAACCTTCTTTCAGGAGTGTTTTTCTGTGTGAGAATGTTGCACACCATCTGCCTCGGTGTCATCTGTGTAGACTTATTGTAGAAATGGGACTGGCAGGGATTTAGCCTACTGATAAGGCTGTCATCTCACTTCTGGGTTTCTGCCTTTCATTTGCAACTATTTTTACATGGACCAGTTGTACCTGGTAACTGAGGCACCACTGTAAAATGCTAAATGACTTGCCTTGGGTATAGAAAGTTTTTCCTTTCAGTGTCCTCATAATTTACATTTTTTTCTGTTGTTGTTTTTATTTCCCTCTTCATTCTTCCACGTGTCAACTACCTGAACTCAACCTGTTCTGGCAGGCTGTGCCTTCCAGGTCACTGGTGATGTTCTGTGGCCTGCTCCAAGGTGTTGTTAAAGAGTAGTGAGCATCTTGATTGTCTTTCTGCTGCACTAAAAAGAAGTAAAATCTGTGTGTGTTTCAGCCTCTGTCCAGCATGAACAGTCTGGGAATAGATGACTCTTTCTAAAATCATGCTCTGTGGTGGAAAGTCACTGTGTATCACAGATATCCCAAAGGAAGTATGTACAGGCATGTTTGAGCAGCACAACTCGCTGGAAATAAGCCCTACACGTTGCCCTACACAATTGTTGAAGCTATATTGGCTTATGACATTGGAAAGGATTCACTTGAGTTGCATGTGGTGTCTGCTTCATTCAGGCTGCCGTGGTGTGGCTTCAAGCATAATTTAAATGTTGCTTACTTAAAGTCTTAGTTATCCGTACACTGTTCTCTGTTTACAATGAGGGTAGCAGTTACACAGTCCCCTGAATCATGTCAAAGAGGTGAAAAGCAGGTGTAAATGCTACATGTCCAAAATGTATTTAGTTTAGTGAGTAAAGTGGAAAAAATGTTTGATGCTTGTGTACAGCTGAAAGAGAAGACAGCTGTCTTTGTCCCCAAAAGCTTACAATGTGAATGTAAAACCATGGTCATGGGCAGGAAGTGTAGGGAATTGGATTGTACTGAGCTGTGCGCTTGGCAGTAGCTAACTCAAATTTCTTAGGAGAAATCAGAGCAAAGTTTAAAGGAGTGATCAGGAGGAAGGAGAATGAAGTTTGGAGCTGTTTAAAAGTTTACGTCAAGTATGAGTGCAGAATGAGTAAAAGCCCAAATACAAAGAGAAATCAAAGAAGAATGCATTCACGCATTCCTATGGTCAGGTTAATTGCTGAAAATGCTGATTGGGTTGAAATTCTGGGTGAATGGGACTTGAATGAGATGCAAGCTGGAGGAAGAAGTTGTAGTAAGCAATGTAATGAGACCTTAGACAAACCTTTTAATTGTGAAGATGAAAATACAATCTTGAAAATATGTCAAAATGTTTCTGCTTGTTTACGCATAGCTGAGAGTGAGGGTTTGGAGTGAAATGAGGGTTGATAATGAAGAATTATAGGTTGAGTGACAGGCAAAATAGTAATTTTTATCTATATTGATGCAGCAAAAAGTTTGTAGAGCTGAGGCTGACCTGATCTTAGCCATCCTCAGAGAAGTGTTTGTTACAGATTAGGATTTCAACCTGGTTTAAGAAGATGGGAGGGAGAGGCATATTTGCAAATTGTCTGCACATACACTGTGGATGAATACGTGCATAGATTGGGCCAGATACTCAGAAAAGACATCAGGCCATCACCTTTTAAGATATTCACAAATAAGCAGACCAATAAGCATTCAATTGTATTTTTTGAAATATCTTTTTTTTAAAAATGGAAACAGAACTTATTTACCATATTTATGTGTTCATTCATCTGTCTTGGGCATTGTACATGAAAAATGTGTATATTTTATAATTTTACAGTCCATAGTGTATATCCCCTTGCAAGACGTAGATAAATCACTTGGTGGTATATTTTAGAGGACTGTATATGAGATTATTATTTTATTCACAATTGAGATTTCTTATTTCTTCTAATTGGTTTTGCTATATATTTGTCTGTTCCATCACTGTTATCTTTCTAGTATTATGCTTAATATTTAATTTTGTAGTTCTGTAAAGCAGGGTATGTCATTTACCAGCATAACCTACTGGACCTCAGAGATACTAATTCCAGACATATTTGTTATAGCAATTTTTCCTCCCATAAATGTTCATTCATCTTCTCAGCTGAAAATCTTGGAATTTTTAGAATGATGCCTTTTATTAACAAAAAAAAAAAAATTGTGATAAATAAAATTGCTCTCCAATTTTTTTTTGTTGTATTCAGTAATTTGAAATAAGACTAATAGTTTCCCAAATACCCCTCATTGCTTCTGAAGTCATCTGGATTTTTTATCAGATGAACTGTAAGTACCAAAGCTTCCTTTAATATGATTCATTGTCCAGCTGGAGGGTAATCACTGAAATGGAACACAGACATGAACAATGACTTTAACTAAGTTGGTTCAGTTACTTTCATCCCGCTCAGCTACTTCTATTGCATTCAGTCTTTTGTGGGAGCTTTTAAAGTATGTCTTTCGATAACAGCTTGTAAAGGCTGTGGTACCTTCACATCTATTTCAAGGCTAAGATATCAACATTTCAAATGCTGCTGCTAAGAAAGCAGGTGATTCATGAGCCCATAAGCCTTAAGCCATTAAACTTGCAAACAGCGAATGGTTTAGAAACGGTTTTCAGCTAGAAGCATTTTGACATATTGGTAAATATTTTCAGGCCTTACTGGCTTACAGGCCAACATTTTGAATATATATGACTACATTTTGCAATCTCATTACAAGACTAGGTTGAGCTTTGGACATGCAGGTATCATGAGGAGAGATAGCCCCTGCCAAGCAGCATAATTCCCAGTGCAAAGTACATTAATGGCTTCAATGACAATATCCCGCAAGTATCAAGGACTGTGAAACTCAAATTGAGCTTGACTGGGGGAGACCCAGTGAAATGGCTTGTTCAGTGGCTCAGCTTGACAGATCCAGTGATAGAAGCAGTTGTCCTGACAAAGAGAGTCTAAATACATGGATCAGAGGCACGTTGAATTCCTCAAAACAGGTGTCAGATTTTTCTGAATGATCTCCTTCCAGGTCATAGTCCAGCCTCACACTTGGAACAAGTGCATGGACAGTGGTACAATGGGTGTTTATTACTGCACAATAAAGCTTAGTATTAATTTACTCCTACAAATGGTCCCCATGTGATTGAAATAGATACAACTTGAGTGGAGCATTCTGCTTCACTTACAAAGCCTGCTGTAAGTCTCAAGAAGCTGGTCCACTTAAGTCTTAAATTGTACAGTGCATAAACAAAATGTGAGAAATGTTGCCCCCTATCACTGTGATACACATAATAAAATTAGAGAAGTGAGCAAATCAGCCATGGCTGTGACACCTCATTAACCAGGCTTTCCCATGCCTATATATTTTGCCTCTCTTTTTTGACATCTGAAAAAATCTATGTCAAAGCCCAGCAAGCTGGATTTGTTTCATACCAGCCCTGAAATGGATACCAAAAATAAAGAGTACTTTTGGAAGCGAGTGCTTTTCCCCTTCCCTTAAGGGCATTTGTCCAAGAGTGCACAAAAGCAACAGCAGCAGCATGATGGCAGGAGAGGTGCAGGACTAGGTTGTTATTAGATAGCCTACCCCAAGCATATTAAAGAATGATGAATGGTCATCTCACTAGGCCTGATTTCTAGAGAGCTCTAGGTCAGGTTTCATTTCACAAGTAAGAATTTGTCACAAGCATGTAAAAACTGTGCTTGGCTGTTATCTTTGGAACTTAAAAGCAAGAATTCTTAGTAGACTATTTGTCAGTTGGAAAAAAACAGAGAAGGGGCCATCTGTGTTAATCAGCTGTGGTTTGCTAATATGATGCAGCTGGCAAGGAGGCAGTACTTACTTTAGCAGGTAGAAAACATCTGCTGAAGAGAGAGCCCAATTAGTGTCATCACCTGAAACTCCGTGAGTGGTGCATTACCCCATGCACGCTGAAAAGCCATGGTGGGGGAAATGGCTCAGACATACCCAGGAAACAGCAGAGTGAGATGTGCAGAGAACAGCATCTGAGATTGTAAAGGGCAGCCTGCTTCTGGGAGGAAATAGAGGCAAGGTAGGAAGGAGTTTTTTAGTTTGTACAATGCTCCCTTCATTTTCCTGCCTTTTTTTTTTTTTGTAAATTGAAGATGCAGTCTTTGTAATTACTGTGAGCCACACTCATGTTTTTCTCCCAACATATATTTATAAGATGTTTGTTGTAATTTTATGAGGTTTTGCTCTATATATGAATAATTTTTTTATTCTTGTTGTATTTCTTTGAGTTTGAATGTTAACAAAGGACTATATGGACTTTTATCTTCTTATCCTGTTATGGCTTCATTTTTAATATATATATGTGTATATATAATTCCAGTTTCTCTTGCTGTAAGCAGTGGGAGCATTTCTAGTAAATTTTGTAAGAAATTTTTTAAAGAATGCCTAACAGGTGAACTGTGAGTCTTCAGTGCCACTCATCATTTTAATAAGAATGAGGCTTTCTTAGTACAATATTTTAAAGTTATATTTTTACTACCTTGTTCTAGTGATTTGAACATTAGGAGATACTTCTGCTTTAGTATACTTGAATCATATTTTTACCTTTTAATCTTCTATCCATTTTGTTTTTAAGAAGTCCTTTTCTTTCTATTCCTTTATAGCCTGAGCTTGACTTCATAAGAATCTCTAACTGAACCATAAACTACCTTTATAAATATCATTTTTCCTTGAAAGCTATATCTTACTGGAATGACCAAAGTTTTGTCATGTGTTAGATTAAGATGTCTGCCGAAAATCAATAATGCTGAGGTAACAACATTGGTTTCTGCTAGGCTCTCAATTACTTTCTCAGTTGTTTGTCATAGGAAGAATATATGATCAGTTGTTTCCCCTGCAGGCTATAAACCCAGCCTGTTCTCTTTTGATCACTTCTGCATACTTCACTTTTACTCTCCTAAGTGTAACACAGATTTTTAGAGCTTTGGACCTGTGAAGTAGCAAAATGATTCTTCTGTAGTCTATTCCAAGGGATAATAGTCTCCCAGTATAAAGCATCATAAATATCCCTGGACAGCAGCTAGCTCTTTTGGGTTGCATTGCACAATTGCTATGGAATCTATTCCTGAATTTGCCATGCTCTTTGAAGAAATATCTGGGAGAAATTTACTTCACAGTCTTTCCTTTGCACCTCATGTTCCCTATAGTCCTTTTCACCTTGCATTCCTTTTGTGGGTCGTCCCTTATTCCAAATACAGCTGTAAAACTGCTAGTCTTTTACTACTTTCTAAAAAATCTTTCTTTCTCCCTCTCCCCCCTGTATCTTCCTGTGTTTTTTAAAGATGGTGTCTGGTGCCATTTTGTTCTTGAAGTTACTAGATTTTGCCACAGAGGGGAAACACAGTTGTGCTGTGCTCTTTCCTGAAAGCTTTACTTTGTTTCTTTCTTCATCTTTATCTGAAATAAATTACACTGTACCTGCTTGATGTCAGTAAAGACTCTGCTAGATAAAAGAATACTTCCAATAATATAGTCTCCTGTGAAAATGGGAGCAGCTATAATTGGGCAATTAGACTAAATTAAAGCTGTAACAAGGGCAGTAGCTCCTTGTTATTGTAAGTGCTCTTTCCTTAAAAAGAGGGAAGTGATTTTCTGAATGAGGCTTCAGAGGTAACAGAGAACATATATGGAAGTTCTGGTCATATCATATCACTGACGAGAAGAACCTGCTTTTATTTGCCTCTGGATTTTCACGTGTCTTGATTTATAAGGACAGAAGCAAATGATGCAGAACAGTAAACACTATTTTTATTTAAAATTTAGAAACTGCCTAAAGAAACAATAAGCCCCCCCCCTCCCCCCAACCAAATAGAAATTTAGATATTAATCTAGCCAACTTTAGGTTCTTATCCAGGAAGTGTATATGAGAGGTTAGTCAAATTTGGTGGCATGTACGTTTGGATTTCAAGGATGTGCAGAATACTTAACGTGGCTGTACCCTGGCAGAGCTCTGATGACATATTTCACAGAACAGAGCAGTTTGGAGCTGTTATGTTTCCTAACAGGGTATTTGTATCATGTTGTAAACAGTTACTGCTGTAACTGGGTCCTAAGCTGTGGTCCTTAAAACATGGAGTGCTACCCCAACTGCCAGAAACCTGAATGCAGTTTGCCTTTGTCTTCAGTCACATTCATGTAGACAACAGGGGGCAATGCCAGAGTACTTGGGAGCTAGGCCAGGAGGAGGATAGGTATGCAGCTGGTCATCTGTCTCAACACTTTGGAGAACATGGATAATTACTGTGTGCCATAGCCCTTCCTGATGAAATGCCTTTTGGAAAATCAAAGTTGTTTGTCTCATTCCACGGCAGAGACAATTTTTGTGGCCAAATGGGGTTTAGTAACTCCTCCAGCCTTGTTGCAGTCTCTCTCGTGGACTGTTTAGCTTTTGGATGTTTATGCACCTACAGAGTTTTTGTATACATAAAATAAGGCACGAAATGTGGACTTGGTGTTTATTGTGCAATCAACGTGGCCTTAAAAAGGGCAAATGGCACAATGGACCAGGTGTTGTCCCATTCCAATTCTAGTAAATGAGGCTGACTGCTCTTCCCCAGTTCTCTACCTTTTCCCTGGTATTTGTGTTGGTACGTCCTTAGAGGAAGCAGAGGCTCTTCTGGGGCTGAAATAAACTTCATGACCCAAATGTTTACCGTGCTTTAAAGCCTGGCTGTGTTATGTTGGATCAGAGCTATTTCCTGTCTTAAAGCACAAAAGTGGCAACAGATGTGTTCTTAATAAACTGATGAAGTAAAGACAGTGAAAAAACAGGAGCAATCTAGATGATTTGAAAGAAGTTATACCTTCTGAGACTATGAATATCAAGTCATCATAGAATAGTTTGAGCTGGAAGGGACCTCAAAGATCATCTAGTTCCAACCCCTAGCCATGGACAGAGAATCCTCCACCAGAGGCAGGAATTTTTCACTAGATGGTGGTTTCTCCTTCACTGAATTGAAGGAGAAAGCTATAAGGTGTGCAGGCATTGAAGGACTGTTCTTGTCACCACACAGAACAGTCGCACACTGCATCAGTGTGTGAGGCAGTGTGAGAATTCAGGAGTACCTGGGGTTCCCTGGAGCCTTCAAAGCTTTGGCCTCACATGGACAATGCCAAGAGCTTTTGTTAGGCATTAATACTTGTCTATACATGTACTGGGTCCACCCGAGTCTCTGGCAGAGAATGCTGCGTGCTGGTATTGCAGGCTGATGCCATATATTGTTCTTTTTGTTTTTTTTTTTCACTAACGTGCATCAGACTCTGGCTAAGCTGTTCTTTTCCAGTGTTTGATACTGTAGTAGTACAGCAAGTTATCCCTCACTTCTGTTTTCCTTGGTGCAACACATTTTTAGAGCCTTGAGCACAGGAGGTAGCAAAATTATCCTTCCAGAATCCATTTCTAAGGGACAGTAGTCTCAGAGTGTAGTATTGTGAAGTATCCCCAGTGCAACCCAAAACCTGAGTGATACAAATGGGAATTGTACGAAGACAGAAGTGAAAAATCCTCCTTCCTCTCACTGCTTTCTGCCATTATAAAGGAATTTGTCTGTTAAGTCAGTGCACAGCATTAGCAATGTTCAGTTCCTCCTAGATGTGTGTAAAAACAAAATGCTAACTTTCATCATTAGTTGGTTATGATTGTGTTCAACAAAACTGTTGGTGCTTGGGGTTGCTTTGCCCTCCCTCGTTTCCAGATCACATCCCTTCCTTTTGAGGTTGTGAAAGCCATTTAGACCGTGGAGCTTGTTTCTCTTTTGTTTATACTAATGTAACACGGTGGCTGGTGGGTGAAAAAAATCTTGGACCTGATGCAGAGTGATCAGGAATGAATTGTTTACACGATCCTGTCTCAGGTAAAGAAAGGGCTAATTGTGTTCAACAAAACTGTTGGTGCTTGGGGTTGCTTTGCCCTCCCTCGTTTCCAGATCACATCCCTTCCTTTTGAGGTTGTGAAAGCCATTTAGACCGTGGAGCTTGTTTCCCTTTTGTCTATGCTAAAAATCTTGGACCTGATGTAGAGTGATCAGGAATGAATTGTTTACAAGATACTGTCTCAGGTGAAGAAAGGGCTTTTGGTGTTTTCAAGCTTGCACTCTGCAAACAGATACTGAAGCAGTGAACTGTGTTTGATCATCAGATCAAAGGCTTTTGGTGTTTTCAAGCTTGCACTCTGCAAACATGCAAACAAGCAGTGAACTGTGTTTGATCATCAGATCAAAGTCAGAGGAGGGCCTGAAAATGAGGACTGGGGACTGGACTTGTTTATGGGAAATGCAGGAAAATTTTTGTGCAGGACAGCAAAAGGACACCCTTGACTTTGGCTCTGAGATGAGCTGAAAAACTCTGCAACTGTGACAAGCAAGTTGAGTTGGGAAATTAGCATGGGGCTTTTAAATATTATTCACTTAAGGGGTTTCAGCTTAATATCTTTAGCCACCTGCATCTGGCTAGACTTTTGTATATCATTGGTACAGAGAAACAGGTGTTTCTGGATGCACAACACATAGTAAGGTAGGTAGCAAAAAATCTCTGAGGATGAATTGTGTTCTGTAAATGCCTGTTGCTGTTTAGCTCTGTATTACTAGATTAAGTGTAGGTGTCAGAGTTTTAAGTATCTCATATTGCATGGAGTGAATGAAGCATTTATGAATTTTGGAAGCTTGAAGAAAGGATAGACATTAGTTACTGAAATATTGTTATGAGAAACTGAATCTCAGGAACTGGAAAATTTTTTGAGTTGTCCTACTTCTGTGTAGATATGGCAGTAGAGGAACTAGTGGCAGAAGAGATGGAAGGCTATGAATCTTCAACTGTTAAGGAAGAAAGGCTTGTCTTTCTCTTTAATCAGTAGAACATGTCATCTAGTTCCTCCTTGCATGTGTGCGTGTAACTGTGGCGCATTATCACCTTGCATATTCTGTGGGCTGGAAAGGGAAATGGAATATAGTGAGAATATTGTTAATTCACTTCAGGAGTACTTGGGAAATCTCAGATATTTATGAGTAATTGAGAGAACACAAT